CGACTGGGCTCCCGCGCTCGGGTGGCCACGCGTGGCCGGGCCTGCGCGGAGGGCGCGGAGGTGGGCGGCTGCCCCCACCCCGCCCGCGTACTGACTTGCTGCTGCTTCCTGGGTCGGCCGCGTCCTCTCTTCTGAGGCGCCGGGGCGGCAGGTTGTCCCTGGGCTGAAGTGGACGGCTGCCCGGCGCCCTCACCGCGTGCGCTCATCCTGCCTCCCGCCGCCGCCGCCGCTGCTACCGCTGCCGCCGCCGCCGCTACCGCCGCTGCAGCCGCTTGGCCTCGGCCGCCCCGAATCCGCCCGGTACCTCTCGGGAGACGGGGTGATAGGGCTGGAGACCGAGGCAGGGGGAGCGAGAGCGGGCGTGCTGCGAGGGCTGCTGCTGCTTAGGCTGCCGCCGCTGCCACCATCAACACCGGACGTCCAGCGGCTGCCAAAAGAGAGCAGAGGGAGGAGGAGGAGGAGAGAAGGAGGCGCTGCTGGTGGCGGCGGCGGCGGTGGGTGGGTGCCGGAGGTGGAGGTGGCGGTGGAGGTGGAGGTAGCGAGAGGAGCAGGAAAGCGAAGGCGAAGAAAAAGAGGGTCGGACGCTGGAGAGGCTCCCCCTCGGTTTGGGATCAGGAGTTGCGGTCACCGGGAGCACTTCGGAAGAGGCTTGGAAAGGGAAGAGACTTGGAGTGAATTGTGTCCCTTGAAATGTTAGGCGGGGAAAGAATTCCTCCTCCTCTTCCCCCCCTCTCCGCGCTCGCAGAGCAAGAAAGAGAAAGAGAGAGAAAGCAAATAGCGCCTTGGGCCGTTGGGAAGCAGAGGCAGGATGGGGAGAGCCGGCCGGGATCGGGTCGGGCACTGAGCGCGGGCGAGGGACGGAGCAGTGGGTGGCACCGCGCCTCTTCGGGTGGCGGGAGCGGGCGGCAGCGGCACCGGAGAGCCGGAGGGGGACGGGCTGCTCGCTCCTGCGTCCTGCACCAAGCGCGCGCTGCCGGGGCTGGAAGTTTTCTGAGTTCCTGCCCCAGGATTCAAGCGGGATGAGTGTGTGTGTGTGTGTGTGTGTGTGCGCGCGCTTGGGGGGGGGGGGGGGGGGGAGTGCCCACCTCTAATCGTGGGCGGATAAAGGGGAGGGGGCTGCGCAGGAGGAAAAGTATGAGGAGGAGGGAGGCCAGGCGGATCGCCGAGCCAAGGCGCCTGGCCGCGGGCCAGAGGCAGCGTTCGAAATACAACTGCCTTGGCGGCGGCGGCGCCCGGGTGCCACCCGGAGCCCCGCTCACGTGCTCCCGCCCGGCGGCGGGGTTAAAGGGACAGGCCGGGGATCCCGGCCCGGCTCGCCGCCGGCCTCGCCCCGCCCGCCGCCCGAGGTCGCCCCTGGGCGGTTGTCCTAGGAAGGCACGGGAATGTGACTGTCTCAGAGCCGCGTTTCGGGGCTTGGCCCTTACCTGCACCTCCACGATGCGGAGCCAACACTCTGCAGGAAGCGTCTAGCTGCACGCGCGGCGGAGTTCTAGCTCCCTGTGAGTGGGAAGGAACGGAAGAGGAGTAGGAGCCGGCCGCCGGCAGCCCTGCTCTGCCTCGGAATGCCCTCATCACAGATCGCACGACCCGGCCCGCGCACTTGCACGCGGACACACACGCACACACGTGCACGCAGATACACGTGCACACTCGCACAGGCACATGCATGCATAAACACACACTTAAACCAACACGCGCTCACTTACATGCACATTCGCAGACATAGGCACACGTGCAAACAATGCACACACATGCACACGGGGCGCGCCAGCTTCTCCATCGAGCATTTTCCTCCGGGAAAGACTAGAGGCGACGCGAAGCCTCGCCCCCCCCCCGCCCCCGGCTGGCGCTATGCACCCGCTTTCCAACGCTCACAGGGTAAAGCGGTTGCCCCACGCGGGGACCTGGTAGCTGCCTAACACCGCAACTGCGCCAACTGTCCAACTCGCCCTTCAGTTTACCTCGATTTAACCTTCTCGCTAGAAACTCCCTTTCTGCCAAGTCCTAATTTTATAGCTTGGGCTGTTTCTGAGTTATGGGAACACCATCATGACCACAGGCCGTTTTAAAAAGGTGGAGTACATTTTAAAATGTACCTCTTTTCATCCTTGAATAACAAAAAAACTGAAAAAATTAGGTTCAGATTTTCACACATCACACCCAAAATTATTTTGGACTAATGCCAGAATAAAAACTTTCACTCGAAGAAGAATTTTTTTTTTCCCGAAAATACAGACCACCGTGGAATAAAAACGCCTACTTTACAGCCCTAAGCAGCCCTGCTGGTGGAGGAGGCGCGCGTAAATGTCTGCTCCGGAGCGGCGGCGCTGATTGGTCGGCGTTGCCATTTTAAATCCATTGCCAGCTGCCTTTTGCCGAGCTGGGACACTTCGCTGCACATTGAGTGCCCTGCGGAAACCCAGGGTTTCTCCCGGGTCTGGGAACGCTTAGCTGTGATGGAGAGGGAGAGCCCCCAACCCTCCGGATGGAGCCCAGCAGCTGACTGGGGAGGGAGGGGTCTAACAGGAACCAAAGATTTTCTGCCAGGGCTTGGCTGAAAGATGGTATCTTCATCAAAGGGATTGAAATTTCCCGTGCTAAAGTTTGCTGTGACATTTCCTAACTGCCAAGTGTGCACATTTTTTAATGTGATCACATTCGCACTGGGCTGTGCACATTTCACACACACATGCAAAACGGGCTTCTTGATTGTTGTTTGCTTGCTTTTTACAAGGGTTAGAGATAATTCTGAGGATGAATGTAAGAGAAATCACCTAGCCTTTCAGCCAGCCGGTTTTATAGGATACATGCGTAATATCCTCAGATTTATTTTTCGTGTGCATAGAGGCCGGCAAGGAGGGAATTCCAAAATTTTATTTTTGCATTAATCGTTGACTTTAAGAAAAGCACAGCAAAATGAGGGGTGGGAGAATGTCCTGCCACTTGTTTTCAGGCCCCTGCCTCTTTGCTATCAGACTATTTGACCCCTTTTGAATTTATAACCGAAGGATATGAAACAAATATTGCATCAAGTTTTGTCTAAAACAATTTTATATATTTTCATTTCTGGAAGCTACACTTAATTTTTTTCAGGTTATATTTTCTGTATATTTTTAGAGGAGACCTTAAAATCTACCTTCATGCTTGAAATTACTTGAAACTTTTAAAAAGGGTGTCATCTATTTTTATTAAGTTCAATGGTTATGTTTTAAAGAGTGGATATTTTTCACATTTACATTTGAGGGTTTTTGTCTCCCTGTTTAAGTTGCTCAGTTGTTCACTTTCTCTTCTTTATCTTACCATATTTTACCCATCCACTCAAGGCTAAACTCTTATTTCTAATTTGAAAACTTTCCAGGTGGTTTTTGTCCACATGAAACTATTTGTTTTCTTCTGCACCTACTTTCAAACTGAACAATTAGCATCTTGGTTGTATACGTAAACAAGGTTTCTAATCGTCTGTGATACATGATGTCGTGTTTGGATCAGGTCAGCTCATTAATGGCTGGTAAAATTAATTCAGTGGACCCATAACATTTAAAAAAAAATAGAATACAGTAGATAATATAACATGTAAAAGTTCTGTTTTAGTTATATAGCACACGTGTAAAAATTATATACAAATGCTTTTTTTCCATCTTTTCATATATTTGGAAATTGGGGTGTATCTTAGAGTGTCTTAGCACTGTGTTAGCACATACTAGACAGTATCTTCTCTGTTTTAGCCGTATATATGATACTGATGTGTTTAATAATCGACGCCACCGTAGATCGGTGAACTATCTGTATGTAAGGTCTATTTCTGACTGTGGGTTGCAGTGTAACCTGTTTCAATGCCACTGACTTAGTTATGAGACCTGAGTTCCCTTCCCACTCCACTGAACCAGGTCTGCAGTGCTTGGTGAGTCGTTTCTCCTCTCTGTGTCTCAGGGTCCTCATTTCTAAAAAGAAAGATCAGCATAATCTCTGAGCATTCTTCCACTTCTAATAGACTTACACGTATAATATCTTGTTCTCTAATTGTGCCTGTTTATATGTAAATTGTACGTAGATTCCATGGAGACAGGTAGTATTTCTAACGCCTCTTTTTTGCACCAGTTGTGTGTAGGTAGTGTTCAGTTCATAATAGACTTTAGGTACTTACTAATTTATGGCTATGACAAAGTAACTCTTAACAAGTTACTACTTTACAAGTGTACCCAGGATGAGAAAAGCATTACATATATTAAAATAGCTTCAACATTCTTTTGACTGAAGGAAGATGCCTGTGTGATGAAGAAATTGAGGTCCTCACGTTGCACTTTATCACATTATATTTATACTTTAATATATTCATAAATTAAAGAATAATTTAAGGATTTTCTCAGATTATAACCGATTGAATTAATCAGGGATGTATTTTATATGTATTAAACAGGGATTTATTATAACCAGATATTTTGGAAGTGAATCTATATAGGGTCACAGAAAAAAAATACAACTAATATTTATTGAACAGAACGCATAGCATATATACATACACAGACACACATATATGCATTGTACATAGAAGCTCACTATAGTACAAGGTAAACACATATTTCTGAAAAATATTTCCAGTGTTTTAACATGAACTCATTTGCACTGCTCAAACTCAGTTTTAGATATTGCGTCTTTTAAAATATGCTTAGTATTTAATGAAATGTAGAAAAGAGAATCTCTAAGAGTTTCCCTACAGTATCACCAGGGAAGAATATGTGCTGCCAAGTTAACGTTGTAGTGGTGGGGGAGGGTATTGTGGACAGGACGGAGAACACCAAACAAAATGAATTCATCTACTCATTCATTCAACAAACATATATTGAGTTGGTTTTGCAGTAATCTCACCAATTATTCTCTCAGGACTTAGGAATGTAATTCATTCAGAACTGGAGAGAATCTCTTTTGAAACAGCTACGTGCTCATTTAAAATCTATGTACCTATTATGTTAAGCCTTTCATTTACCATTACAAATATTTATTCTCCTTTATCCAATCCATAGTTCATTCAACAAATATTTATTGAGTACCTAATATGTGCTGGGATTCACAGAACATTCTTTTTGACAAAAGCCATGGAAGCAGAACAGAAGTAGAACAGTTTCATTTCCATCTCTCATCTATGACACTGTACTGTAGCCCTGAGGTACACTATCCCGCAGCTGTGGATAGCAGGAGGAACATGGGCTTTTAAATCAGATTTGGGATGGGAGGTGTGGTAGGCAGAAGGATAAAATGACCCCTACGATTTCTTGGCCCCCGGTGTAGATGCCTTGCGTAATCCCTGAGACTGTAATATGGTGACTTTTACTCCCATGATTAGGTTATCTTAGATGGTACAGTTGACCTTAAGATAAGGAAACTTATCCAGGTGAGCCTGACCTAACCATATGTGCGCTTTTAAATCAAAGAGTTTTCTCTAGCTGTTTTAGAGGAGGATGTTAGAGATTTGGAGCTGAAAAAGGATTTGACTCGCCATTGCTGGTTCAAAGACAGAGAGGATGCATGGCAAGGAATGTGGGCAGCCTCTAGGAGCTGAGGGCAGCCCCAGGCTAACAGCCAGCAAGGAAACAGGGACCTCCTTTGTAGAACTACAAGGAACTGAATTCTGCCAACAAGAAGAGCTTGGAAGTGGAATCTTCCCCAGAGCTTCCAGATGAGAAATCAGCCTGGCCAACACATTGATTTCAGCCTTGTGATACCTCCAGCAGAGAGCCCAGCTGGACCATACCTGATTCCTGACCTACAAAACTGTCAGCTAATACACGGGTATTTTAATGGTATTTTAAGTCATTACGTTTGTGGTAATTTGTTATGCAGCAATAGAAGACTGATACAAGAAGGATCTGGTCAGATAAACTTCGCCTCTTTTCTCCATCCCACAGACTGTTTCCAAAACACAATTACTCATACAGCTTGTCTGGAGATGTCCCAAGTTGTTGCACTACTCCTACCAAGCCATCCGCTGTGTCTTCGGGCTTGTAGTGAAGCAGTGGCCAACATGGAAACACGAGACGTTGCATTGTTT